TATGAACATATAAAGTATGTATGTATTATTTTCTGACCTATTTTATGCTTGCTACTATACTGAATGAAGACCATGGCTTCCTACACTGTACCCACTCCACATTCCTTATCTTTATTTTATCAGAATTCCAATAGTAACTGTTTAACATTGTAACTATATAAATATGGTTCGTGGGCCAAAGTGTGACCAGGATTACTCCTACTTTCTCTTACAACCCCACACCCCCCACTTCTAAGTCACTAACTGCTAGGGATTCAATTAATTTTGTGTTGGCTCAATATTCAGCAAAAACCTGTTGTTAGGTGTTGGCCTTACCCTTTGGAAGGCTGAATATCTAACTTTCTTCTTTAATATCATTTTTGGCAACCCTCAAATTATGCTAGATCAATGATAATGGTTCTATTTTCAGGTAGATATCATATCTCTTCAGATTAACAATGTCTGCAACGTTAACCAGACAAGTATGCTAGTTATGGTGATACTAATTGCTAAAATAAACTCACATTTCACTGTCTTAACACCGGAAAGGCTGTTTTTTTTGGTCACAATAAACTCTGAGTTACTGGTCTTTAGACCCCCCCCCCCTTTCCTGTCTAAAGTGAATCTGTGGCTGGCTCTTTCCCTCTGTGCTCCATCATCCCCTAGGACCTCACTGTCATCCTCATTCAGCCAGCAAAAGGTAAAGAGAACATAGAGGAGGTATACCCAATTCTAAAATACCCCGGACTGGAAGTGACACTTGTTGTCATTCCTCTGGCAAGAACTGACACCAAAGGCACAGCCAAAGATATAAGGGCCTAGGAAATAAAATTCCTGCTTGGGTAGCAATTGCTCAAAAGAACTCCATACTGTGAAAAGGGGAACACACAATCTGATGGGCACATAATATTCTACTGCAAATCATTCAGACTTACTGTTCATATCTGAACATTCACTTGTAAATAAAGGTAAATATTTGGGATATAAACTGAAGTGCAAAAAAATCTCACAAAAATGTAAGCTGATGAAAGTAGAAATTTTTGTCTGTTTTGCTGACTGCTGAAGTCCCAGTGTTTAGAATAGTACTTGGCACTTGGAAGGTGCTCAATAAATATCTGCTGAATATTCAACTGAATGAATGTGATTTATGTGCCAAATTCTATTAGTCAGCCAAAATATTAATGTGAATGTATTTTGAAAGTGCAACAAATTATTGATTGTGAAAACTGTTAAATTTATGTGCAGAAGCAGATATTGAGAAATTTCTTATAGTTGAATAACAGGAAAATGGATGGTAAGAATATTAGATTAGCTAACATCTAGAAGAATATCTTAAACGCATAAAAACATTTAAAACAGTACATGGCAGAATAATAAATACATTTATTCATAATTCCAGTAGTTACAGAATTGGTATACTAACATTCAAAATTTTAAGCAAATAATTGCATTTGATTTTTAGTTATTTTTTGCCACTTACATAATTAATTTTCAAGAAAAAGTTTAATTTGGGAATTCTTCAGTCTTTTGAGGATAGCTTAAAAACACAATGTCAAGGGGCACCTGGGTGGCTCAGTCGGTTGAGCGTCTGACTCGATTTCAGCTCAGGTCATGATCTCACTTGGTGAGATAGAGCCCTGCATAGGACTCTGCACTGACAGCACGGAGCCTGCTTGAGATCCTTTCTCCCCCTCTCTCTGCCCCTCCCCTGCTCAGGCTCTCTCTGTCTCTCAAAATAAATAAATAAACATTAAAAAAAAAAAAACCCAAAAACGTGGTTTATGAGTTTGGGCCCTGCATCGGGCTCTGTGCTGACAGCTCAAAGCCTGGTACCCTCCTCAGATTCTGTGTCTCCCTCTCTCTCTCTGCCCCACCCTTGCTTGTGCCTTCTCCAGCTCTCTCTCTCTCTCTCTCAAAAATAAATAAATAAACATTAAAAAAAAATCCAGAATGTCAACTTTCCTACCTCAAATTTCATGAAAAGGACAAACTCTAAAAAATATAAACCACATCTAGATAAATCATCTTTGACCTGGATAAGACTGAGAATATAAAGAGTATGAAGAAAAGGAGAAAGTACTACAGAAAACAGAGATGCCTATAATATTCTGATCTCAATGATCAAATTTCAAAATGTCAGCTGTAATAAGAATATTTTAATCAAGACAATTCCCCTTCTACCTCATATCATATAGAAAATTAATTTGAGATGGATCACAGACTTAAATGTGAAATCTAATACTATAAGCCTTCTTAAAAAAAACATAGAATATTCATAACATTAAGGATGGCAAAGATTTGTTAAAGCACTAACCACAATGAAAAAAAGATAAACTGGATTTCATCAAAACTATAAACTTCTACTCAAAAAATATACTATTAAAAGGCAAGGCAGCGACTGGCAGAAGATATTCATAACACATATACACAGATGACTCTTGAAATGCACAGGTTCATGTATACATGGATATTTTTTTGGTACAGTACAGTACTGTAAATGTATTTTCTTTCCCTTTTGATTTTCGCAATAACATTTTCTTTTCTCTAGCTTACTTTATTGTAAGAACACTGTATATAATACAGGTAACATATAAAATGTGTGTTAATTGACAACTTATGTTATCAGTAAGGCTTCTGGTCAACAGTAGGCTATTAGTACTTAAGTCTTTGGGGAGCCAAAAGTTACATGTGGATTTTTGGCTACACAGGGGTTGGGGTTCTAACACCCCTTCTCCTCCCACTGCTCAAGGATCAACTGTATATCTGACAACCTATATAATAGGTGTATAAAGAATTTGTACAAATAAATAAGAAAAAGATAATAACATTTACAAGTGGACAAAAGACTTGAACAAATACTTCTATAAGAGGTGTATGGGGGTGCCTGGGTGGCGCAGTCGGTTAAGCGTCCGACTTCAGCCAGGTCACGATCTCGCGGTCCGTGAGTTCGAGCCCCGCGTCGGGCTCTGGGCTGATGGCTCAGAGCCTGGAGCCTGTTTCCGATTCTGTGTCTCCCTCTCTCTCTGCCCCTCCCCCGCTCATGCTCTGTCTCTCTCTGTCCCAAAAATAAATAAACGTTGAAAAAAAAAATTAAAAAAAAAAGAGGTGTATGAATAGTCAATAAGCAGACAAGAAGGTGCTCACTGTTGCTAATCATGGTCATGTAAATGAAAGCCACAATGAGATACCATTACATAATGTCAGAATGGCTAAAATTAGAGACTGACAATAACAAGTGTTTGTAAACATGTATAGCAACTGAAACTTTCACACTTTGCTGGTGGGAGTGTAAAATTATAAAATCACCTTGATAAGTGTTAGAAGCTTCCAGTTTTACTAAAAAAAACATACATGTATCCTATGACACAGCAATTGGACTTTTAGGTATAAACCCAAGAGGAATGAGTACATACACCCACAAAAAACACAGGTACAAAAATGTATATTACAGCTTTATTTGTAACAGCCCCAAATTGGAAAGAACTCAAATGCCATGAATGGATAAATGAATTATGGTATATTCACTCAATGAAATAGTCTACAGCAATAAAAAGAAATCAACCACTGATACATGCAAACATTTGGATGAATCACAGCAGTCGTGTTGATGAATGAAGCCAAGTATAAAACAATATACACTGCATGATCCCATTCACATGAAGTTGAGGACAAGCATAACTCATGGAGTTTTATTAGAAGAAGAGTGGTTTTATTTATTAGAAGAAGAGTTTTATTTAAAGAAGAGTGGTTCTTTCTTGGGGAGGGAAACTAGGTAATCAGGACATTTTTTGCACTTTAAGTGTATACATCCTGATACAAGTGCATACATGTGAAAAACCATCAAGTACACTTATGATTAGTATACTTTTTGTATTCCACTGTAGGTATGTTATCTGTTTCTTAAAAAAAAAAAGGCAGATAGATAAATTGGCCTGGTTTCCTCAATAGATTTGATAACAGAGAAAACACACGTCATGACACATAATCACCTGCAATTAAATCAAAATTTATTTGATTATATAATATTAATATAAACAAATTATAGGAAAGACCCTCAATCATAACTCAGAAAAAAACCCAAAGGCATTATATGGGAATATGTTATGGAGCTGTCACTGGATATCACTATATCTTGATAGCAAAAACAGTATGGAAGATGAAAAATAACATGAAAATTCAAAATATTATTTTTAGAGTAGCACGCTTTTGAAACAACAGAGGCTAAAATTTACATGAAAATGCTATTCACCCTACTGCTACAGACTATGTATCATTTCTGTTAGTAAGAAAATTTTGAGCTTTGCCTAAGGAAGGGACAAAGTTCTTATTACAAAACAAGTTATAATACAGTAAAACCTTGGATTGAGAGTAATTTGGTCTGTGAGTGTTCCACAAGACAAGCAAACATTTCTAAAAAATTTTAACTTGATCAATGAGTGATATCTTGCAATCTGAGTAGTACGTGACACTGAGTGTCACATGATCACAACTGAGCCAACAGTTCTTGAAATTTGCTTTGATATATGAGTACTTTGGATTACAAGCATGTTTCTGGAACCAATTATGCTCGCAAACAAAGGTTTTACTGTTAATTTTTTTTCTGAAAAAGCCTTCTGCAGTGCATGTCTTATTGGTGCATCTGTTGCAATTATGGAGTATGATACCTGAAGAAACCATATAATTACTGACATGACTACAATTTGCATACTACATTTTTAATGCCAAACTTCTAAATTCTGACTAAAATTGTAATAACTGCATTTTAAGAAATAAAATTTGAGATTTATTTTCGTGACACAGTGACACCCTGGAATGTGTCCAAAATCCAAAATCCAAAAATGTGTATTGGGGTACTTCTAATTGCCTCATTTTAACATTAACCAAGTAGCCCATGTACTTATCCTTTTTGTTTCCTCTAATATCCTAACATCTGACTCTCTCCTTTCTGCATTTTCCACGTACTCAAACACTGGTTCCCAGTTTCCTAGAGCCCTACTTCCTGAGACCCCCACCTTACTTACTTGACATGGTAGCCATCCTGACTTTCCTTCATTGCATTCCTTTGTGAGATCTTGTCTTCAGGATGCCAAGCCTTCTTCTTTAGACTTGCTCTTTTGTTTTGGTGATGCACACTCTCCAGTAGCCTCCTAAGAAGGGGTACATGGGAAGATAACATTTTGAGACCATGCAAGTCTAAATTTTATTTTAGCCCCATACTTGATTGGATTGTTTGGGTACAGAATTCTGCATTGGAAACAATTTCTCCTCTTATATTTGAAGGCCTTACTTTCACAGTGTTCCTTCATCCAGTGTTGCTACCAAGAAATCTAAGTATCACTGTGAAAAAGTCTTTTGTGTAACTCTTGTTTCACCTCCTTTGTAAACTTTCAGGATCTTCTTTAATTCTGGCATCCTGAAATATCATGATATGCTTTTCTGTGTTAAATTCATTGTGCTGGGCACTCTGGATCCTTTTAATTTATACGACTCATGACCTACATTTTGGGGAAATGTTCTTTAATTTTGTTACCTCTTTTCACTTCCTTTCTCTGCTCTCTATTTTGGGGCTTTTACTCATCAGATGGATCCCATTCTGATCTTCCAATTTTGTTGTTGTTCTTTCTTGTTTTCCATCTCTGCCTTTCTGTTCTGCTTCCTGAAATTTCTTCAACTTATCTTCCAACACATCTACTGAATGTTTAATTCTAGCTCGATTTTTCCAATATTTTAGTTTTCTGATTGTTCCTTTTTTTCTAGCACCCTGTTCTTACTTCATAGAGACAGTATATTTTCTTGTTTCTGAGAGTATTACAGCATATGTTCCTTCCATTATTATTATTTTTTTTGGTTCTTTTGTTTTGGTCTTATGTTTCATTGTTGAAGTTATCCTCAAATGTCAATTGATCCTCAGTTATCAGTTTATCATAATCATAAGAGACTGAAAGCCTTGCATGAATGGGCAGGACTTGTGGACTCTTGGGTTTCATTTTAACAAATAATCAAGTGGAAAGTTGTTTTTATAATTGTTCATCTTTGTGGGTGGAGTGGGCGGGCTGGGTAGAGGCCCTGCTGGCACGTTCGTTAGCTGGGTGAGAAGGGGACTGAAGGCTCATGTTCCAAATACTGACATTCTCTCAGTCTCCTGTTTTCAGTGTAGCACCTCACTACCACCTCTGCTCTCCCCCAAGTCCCACTTCTCATCTGTTTGGTTCAATTTCTCCAGAGAATAAGCCTCCAGTCTTTGGCTAGAAAGAGGGACAGGTAACCTGGTTACAAAAGGAGACAAAGATAAACTTTAATACCTGTGTTTCAACTTTGCTCCTCACTCCCATCTCCCAGGGTGCTTCAAATCCCTGAGTCTTTTGGGGGTTCTGGAAGGAAAAGAGAAGTGTTCCAAATTTGTGGTCCTTTTCTGCAATGCAGAATGGCTGTCAGAACTGTGCCATCAAGTATTTTTTTTAACATTAAAAAATTTTTTTTAATGTTTATTTACTTTTAAGAGGGAGAGAGAGATTGCCAAGCAGGGGAGGGGCAGAGAGAGAGGGAGACAGAATCTAAAGCAGGCTCCAGGCTCTGAGATGTCAGTACAGAGCCCGAGACAGGGCTTGAACTCACGATCCCTGAGATCATGACCTGAGCCGAAGTCTGATACTTAACCAATTGAGCCACCCAGGTGCCCCACAAGTATTTCTTTTTTTAAGTAATACATTATCTTGAGACACCTGGGTGGCTCAGTTGATTGAGGGCTTGACTTCAGCTCAGCTCAGTTTGAGCCGTTGCATCCAGCTCGCTGCTGTCAGTGCAGAGCCTGCTTCAGATCCTGTCTCCCCTCTCTCTGCTCCCCCACTGTGCACGCTCTCTCAAAAATAAACAAAACATTAAAAAAAAAAAGTAATACTTAATCTTTCCCTTGGTGGTAAAGCAAAATGAGAAATTAACTGCTTAAAACACTGCTTAAGATCTAGCAGTTAACCCAAACAGAACACAAACAACAACAAACCCAAACTACCTATTAAGACAGTATGTCAGTAAATGTTTTAATGGTTATGTGATTATTTTAGCCAAATAAAATGTGTCTCCTATAAAACTCACAACCATTCTAACTTTGGGTCACCTCTCCCCACATCAACTATTTGGAGGTAAGGAAACAACACATAATGGGAAGAACCAGACTCTTCTCCAAAAGCAACTACAGGATGACAACCCAAGCTTCATCAATGCTAACACATTTATAGAGGTGCCAGATAAAAAGTGGATTGTGAATTTCAGATAAATAATTTTCTTCTGGTAGAAGTATGTCCCATATTTCATTGTTTATCAGAAATTCGAATTTATGGGGGCCTCCTGTATTTTTATTTGCTAAATCAGTATCCTAACACATTTAAAGAAACTGTGTAGGTAAGTGACCCACATAAACAAGTTGGGCAAAGAAGGAAAGTGGGATCTGGGCCAAAGCATTCAAGTCACTGGGAGTCCACATACATTACTACCAGGCAGGTATCCAGGGGCTAACACCACATAACCTACTTTGTGATAAATTCCCATTGGATGCATTGGCTCTGGCCAACATTAATGCTTTCAATTATATAGGAATTTAGTTCTTTAGGTAGATGGTTGGCCTCTTGTGTCACCAGGGCTCTGTCACTGGTGCAAAATCAAGTCATTCTGGTTGCTCAGGGTGCGATCCAGGGTCTTCTTTCATGAAAAATGGCCATATCCTTGGACTGTTCCAAATGTTTGGCTGCCTCTCAAAGGAAAGTTGTCCCTTTCGGACCATTGCCTAATTAAAACACTGTAAAACAGCGGTGGATATATTAGAATGTCAGGTCCCACACCTGACACTATGAATGGAATGTTAGTACTAAACGAGCATGGGTTTAGCACTTAACCCAAACATGATTTTCCCTGAAGAACATGCTCCTGGATTTACAAACTGCAGCACTGATTCTGACAGTTTCATCTGGTTTCTGGTGCAATCTAATCTGATACCACACCAGTTTGGTTTCTGTGTATACTAGCAACTTCATTTTAATCTTGTTAGGCTGCCCAGGATCCCAAGTCTCCTAGATGATTACAGATTATGTCCCACTCTAGGGAATAGGGCATCAATTCCCAAATGATCCCAGGGATTTTCATATCATGTTGTCAGGGTTATCACCTATGTTTTCCCAAATAAACTGCCCAAACTCCAGTCAACTTGTTTTATGATCCAACCCTAAACCGTCACTGACATTTTAAACTGACTCCATGCTGTTTAGAAGCAACGACTCTGGGCCTCTCTGCTCACTACGTTATTTTATTTTTAAAATCGGGCATTCTTTTCTCCCATCTCCCGGAGAAGGGCTGGTTGTTGCTCTCAGGGCCAACAGGAGTTGGGCAGCCAGGGAAGTGTCGGGTCATCATGGTACCTTCATCCTTTCCATTTTCTTGGCCTCGTGTCCAGAACTGTTAACTGTTACATAATCCCACTGTTGCCACCAATTGGAGGTAAGAATTTAGAGGATGGTATGCAATGATCAGACTCAAATATGCAGCCACTAACTAAACTTTGCTTAAAACGGCAAAGATATGCTGGAGGTTTTCTTTTGGATAACAGCAAGTCGATGACACAGGAGAAACACCTGGCAGCTGGGGGCAGCTAGTGTGGCTCCCTCAGTTTCCCTCGGTCCAGTGGATATTGCCCATTGGTGGGCTCATTTACCAGGAGCCTGCAGAAACTTGCATCATGCAGTCCGAGGAGTTATCCAAACTTTCTGGGCTTCTCTGTATACCCCAGCCATTCGCTCTGTATACCCCAGCCCAGCAAAACGCTCCTGGCCCTGATTTTTGTGTGCCATTGCCTTGTGGACTTATCAAATACAACTTAAATCTGTGTGTAAAGGACCTCTTTGACTATTCCCTTAGCTGACCACCCCTTTTGGGGTTTAATTAGTGGGAGTGTGACCTCCATGTGAATTTTCACTATATTTGGATGGCTGCATATTTACAAATACCTAAGGGTCTGTATGAGGACGAGGCTTATTTAATGTGACCCTAGAGAGCAAAAATAGCATCAGTGGCCAAAAGCTTTGGGGTTATTTATATTGGTTCAATATATTTTAAAGCTAATTTCTTGTTTATAGCATCTCATTTAGTTTTGCACTCCCAGTGTCTAGATTATAGTAGGCACTCTGTACTGTTATTAGATGAATGACTGAATTTCTAGGAGACATTTCAAAGTAATGGGCGTCTCCAAAAGGCATTAAATACTCTAATACTGGAGCCAAAAGTAGAAAATAATTTGTTAGATAGAAGAGAGAATTTATGTAACAGTAAGAAAATAACCGAAGTGACTTCTCAAGTCCCTAATTGCTTTAATAATCTACTCTAATATCAGAACATTGTTTTTATCACAGAGAAAAGTTTTTATTTTTAAAAAAAAAATTTTTTTTTTAACGTTTATTTATTTTTTTGGGACAGAGAGAGACAGAGCATGAACGGGGGAGGGGCAGAGAGAGAGGGAGACACAGAATCAGAAACAGGCTCCAGGCTCTGAGCCATCAGCCCAGAGCCCGACGCGGGGCTCGAACTCACGGACCGCGAGATCGTGACCTGGCTGACGTCGGACGCTTAACCGACTGCGCCACCCAGGCGCCCCACAGAGAAAAGTTTTTAAATGGGTGTTTGCGATAGGAGCCCCAGCAGGATAATCCCTAAAAGGCCATTTAATATTTAAGACCTGTTCCTTAGCAGGCATGCATAATTTGTTTCTTCTCTTAGGAAAGCTGATGGGCTTAAAAGACATGATTATGGTGGTGGCGGGGTGGCTCAGTTGATTAAACAAGCATCCAACTTCGGCTTAGGTCATAGTCTCACTGTTCGTGAGTTTGAGCCCTGCGTCAGGCTCTGTGCTGACAGCTCGGAGCCTGGAGCCTGCTTCAGATTGTGTGTCTCCCCCTCTCTCTGCCCCTTCCCTGATTATGCTCTGTGTCTCTCTGTCTCTTAATAATAAATAAATGTTAGAAAAAAAAAATACATGACTATGGTCTTCTGTGCTCAAGGTACCTGGACTGCTTCAACAAGAAGAGGCTGCCTAGCTTCACTGAGAGAGAATACCTTTAAATAACATTAATGTCTGTTGGTTTAGAAATCCTGTTTCCTTTGACAAATATTCTACAAATCCATAATAATTTTGTTGTTTCTCCTAATCCCTCATAGGGCGAGTGTCAAAGTGGTACACTCAGCCCTGACCCCACAGCCCACATCCATGGCACACAAAAAGAGTAAAGGCTTAGGGCTTTTTCAGGTATTTACCATTTTGTGTAACCTGTAATCACTGAACATGCACAAACAAACACGTTCAAATTCAGGTCTTGACTGAATGCCTAACATTTTCTTTTACAAGTATGTTTCGTTCTCTAGAGCTGCCAAGTCACCTCCTATCAGAGACACTGTACAGATATTATTTACATATATGTGTGTGTGTTTATGTATATATATGTATATATATACACACATATATATATATACACACATATATATATATATATATACACACACGTATATATACGTATATACATATGTCAGTTGACTCTATTCAGCACTTAGTGAATGTTGATTATGGCTTAAGCAAAGCAGGATCTATTTCATTTGTTGAGAACAAATGACCATACTCTGGTTCAGCATGTACAAAGCTGTTGGTTTATTCAGCTGCAAAGCTGGGGAAAGGCTTCCTTTTGGAGTGAATAGCAACAATGCTTCATGAGCAAGGCACTTTTATGTACACACATGGGAAAGGAACATATTATGGTTACATAAACATCAATATCTTTTAATTTTCAGACCTCCCTACCTCTTCCCACCTCCCCCTTAAAAAAAAAACAAAAACAAAAAAAACAGGTTCTTATAACATTTTAAAAACCCAGTTTCACAGAACATGTACACAGAACAGTTTCTGATACATTCAGTTACACTAACAGTATATGTTTCAATTCAGTAATTTTCCACTAACAGATAGTTTTTCTACCTACTGCAGTTCCCTCCCTTTTCCTTAAGACAACTAAGGCTCAGCAGAAATACTCATTGGATTATAAACATTTTCCTCTCTCCTTAAAGTTGCTATACATGTACAGAATTTGTGATTCCATTAATGCTTCAGTGTTTCGATGCCATATCATATACAGCACTTAATTATGGAGAATCGGAAAAAGTAAAACTAAAAGAGGATATAGGATATATTTTTAACAATCTATTTGCTGATTCCCTTCAGATGCCCAGTCAACCAGGGGCACACACTGGTTTCACTCTACTGTAGGTGTGTGAAAAGATTTAATGGTCTCATGCATTTTCTTTTATGTAGGATTTCTAGGTTTTAACTCATCTAATTAAATGCAGCAAGATTCATGTACAAGGGTACATACTCTTCCTTGTTCAGCTAGAAGAAAATCTAAAGCTAATCTATGCAGAAAAACAATGATGCTAAAAAACTGTAACTTCAGACTGTTACTAGGCTGAGATGTTCTGTAGTAGTGAAGTTCTTTAAAGTTAGAAAAATTTGCAATGGACGTAAACGGTGCATCAAGTACTGCTGGAACATTATATAGATGAAATATTTTAATTTACAAGCAGTTAATATTGAAAGCATAAATGCTCTTCATCTTTTCCCTGGCCTTTTCAAATGTGATCTGCTCTTAACTAAAGTCTGAATGCCAAGACACAGGAAACATCTTCCCTACAGAACAGGTGTCTGATTAGTCCCCAGTTACAATTTTTTTCGGCCTGGTGGGAGACTGTGATATAAAAGTTTATACTGTAATTGCAGGTAATATAATTGGTCTGAAGTAGTGTGGGCTAGGTTTGAAACTGCACTCCCTCCCCCCAAAATAGGAACTCTCAAGGGTGCCGTGTGCAGGACTATCTATATAAAAGCCAGGAGGTAAATCCATAGCCCCACCATTTTCTTTTGTCTAGGTATTCAATTTAATTCAACTATCTCATAGAAATTAGTGTTAGAAAAGAGTGTGCTCAGAAAGGTGTTATTGGGAGTAGCTAAGTCCCCACTTTCCCCACTGGCTGTTCTGAAGGTTAGGTAACAAAAGGGGTAGGGGTTCACTGCTTCTTCCTTCCCATTAGCAATGAGATATCTAGTTAAGAGTCCATTCAGATAGGAAGAATAAATTGGGGAGAGAACTGAGTGTGGACAACAGTCAATTTTTATAATATGGTCCCTTTTATCTAATTCTCTACTAAAGTTCTCATTTTATCTACAGGGTCTATCAAAGGGGATGCTCACCATGCATTTTCTGCAGCTGAGTTATGGGACTACTGTACTTGGTAGGGCTTAAGGGCTTATTAGGACAGGGCATAGTTTGGCTGAGAAGGCATTAGTGTCTCAACTGTCGGGTGTGTGACTTTCTATGAGAGATATCAGAACAAATGGTGGACGTTTACAGTGATGCAGTTAGGAGTTTGTTAACTGCCTTTTGGAAGTCAGTGTAGGAGTAAGTAGTATTGATGGGTTCAGTTCGGGTTGTTTCCTTAACTGTTTTAGTTAACCAGCCACAGCAACAACCAGAAACACATGAATTAGGGATCTGTTTTAGGTATTCAGGTATGGGAGTGGCTCTACTCAACGTTCGGCTTAACTGTTTGGTGGCAAATTGCAGTGCTCCATTTAGAGTGGCATGATCTCTAGAAAGCCGGCTGGGATTTGTAAGGGGCTTTTGAAAAGGCGGGACTCCACAAGAAGCCAGAGGAGGCCATTCAGGAATTGGTTCCAGTTTGGGTACACAGTGGGAGCAATGAGAGAGTCTTAGACCTATCTCTCGAAGTATATGGACTGGTGTGCTTAGATCTAAGAGTTTAGCATGATATAACCAGGAATTAGGATTTAAAGGTTTCCAAGTTGTAGAGTATTTTAAAAGGCACTTAACCTGCCAGGCAAGACTCTCAAGAGGTGTCAGGTTGGGCACCACAGGGTCTTCTTCTTCAGAGGAATCCCACTCTTGCCCAGAACTCTCATTTAGGTAGTTATTGTTTTCTTCTTCCTCACTTTCTGATTCTGATAAGGGGTCAGGAGAGGGATTCCTGGGACCCATTAGATTAGAACAGAGGAAGAAACCAGAAAAAGGTAACAATCTAAGCCAGCAAAATACTAAAACTATCAAATAGAAACAAAAGATGAAGAATCCTTCAACAAGATTAACTTGTCAGTCCATGATACACACACAGTATGCCTCTGGCTCCTATCACTGTGCAGTTCTTCAAGATTATGTTGTATATTCTTCACTTACAAAGAAGGTATCTCAGTTCTCAGGACCAGTTCAGTGTGTAAAAGTGTTAAGTCACTTACCAGTGGCACAGGTCAGAGTTTCTCCTTCAAACTGTGTCTACCCAAGAAGAGAAGGGGTCTTCCTCCAGGCAAGCTGACTTTCTTAGCGTGGTCTCAACTGGTTACGATACTGCGAGGAGACACTTTGTGTATTCTGTCTTGATGGCAGGGATATTATATCTACTTGGTAATGGAAAGAAACACAGTGGTTGCCTTTGTTGTCCGCTGGTGGAGCAAATTTTGTGGTGGGATGAGTTGTCAAGGACATCTGGTGTACTCGAATCTGATGTTTTCCGTAGGTGGCAAATGCCCTTGGAAACTGGTGACTTAGTTGAAATATCTGGAAAGGTAGCTTTAACCTGTGAATGAGAAGACTAGAGAAATGATATTAAAGTCTGAAAGCAATGGGTTATATTATTGTCTGTATCTAAGAACATGGATGCTGACCAAGAAGGTTTACTGAGCTTTCCCATCTTTATCTCCTAGTCTTAGGCAGATTTTTCTATTGGGAGAGACTGGGGTCATTTTAATCACTTATTGGTTAATATCTGGGTCAGTTTATTTTTTAGTATGCTGTTCTAGCCCAGAAAATTACTTCCGCAAAAGTAGTTCCTTTATGCTCCAAACTCGAAACTCCAGATAGAGAGCTATAAAAGGCGGTGGTACTGTTGTTGTTGCTGTTTTCCTTTAGATGGGTTTGTTGGGATTAGTTTTGGGGGACCTGTCTTGGTTACAGAGCTGTTAGACGTTAGGATTCTTGCTGGGACCCCAGAGGTTGTGGTCATATAACCATACTCAACAGATATGAGAGAAGATGGCAGGTGTAAATCTTAATATAGTAGGAATTACAATGAATGTAAACATGTTAAAACTCACAGTTAAAAAGACAGACATTCAGCCTGGATTAGAAAAACAAAATAAAATTCAATAACATGCAACTAACAAAAGATACTTCAAAGCAAAAAGACACAGAAAAGTAAAAAATAAAAGAATGAAAAAAGATGTATCAGGCAACTGTGGACCAAAATAAAGTTGAGATAGCAATCTCAATACCCATCAAAAAAAGATTTCAAGTCAAAAAACACAAGGGACAAATATAGACATTAATACCAGTGAAAGGAACAGCATAAAATTATATAGTACTCATCATAAACATATATGAGGTATATATGATCCTGAAAGCACAACCTCAAAATTTCTTAAGTAACAACTCATAGAACTGAGGGGGAAATATTCAGCAGGGATATAAGAAGCCTGAAAAAGTCAAAATATTAATATACTTTATTATTATATAAATATTCAGAACTCTATACCAAACAGAATAGATACTTGAGAGTGCACATACACACACATGAAAATAGATCATGTGTTAGGTTTAAAAGTGTAACTAAATTCCAAAAGGTCAATTTCATTCAGACTAAATTCTCTGACCAAAATGCAGTAAAGTAGATATTAAAGGTTAGTTAAAAGGAATCCTATGTTAGGAAGCTAAATACCTCATGGGTTAAAATGGAAATTACAAAAGATATTAAATATTAAAACTGACTGATATAAACCACACAAGGCAAAATTGTGGGACATGGCCAAACCAGTACCCAAAAGAAAGTTATAGCTTTAGGGGCACCTTGGGTGGCTCAGTAGGACAAGCAACTGACTCTTGATTTCAGCTCAGGTCATGAACTCACAATTGTGAGATCGAGCCCCACATCAGGCTCTGCACTGGGTGTGGAGCCTGCTTGAGGTTCTCTCTTCCTCTGCCCCTCACCTACTTCTGTTTTCTCTCTCTCCCTTAAAAAAAAAAAAAATTATAGCTTTGAATACACTGATGAGAAAAGAGGAAGTTTAAACACCTACAAGTTAAGCATTCAATTCAAAATAATGGAAAAGAGTAAGAGCAAAATTAGCAAGAAGGAAATAAAGTCAGAAATGCAACAGCATATGAGGATAGAAGACTGATAAAACTAAAAGATGGTTTTTTGAAAATATGAGTAAGAAAAATGAAACTAGTGAAACTTATCAAGAGACTTAAAAATAAAAGATTTAAAAATTTAAAAAATGACAAATACATACTAAATGTGAAAATCTAGATGAAATGGCTGAATTCTGGAAGAAAATACTAAAATTCATATAGGAAGAAATAGATAACTTGAATAGAACAGATAACTAAACGTTAAAAAACAAAACAAAACAAAACAAAAAGGCCCCAACCTCCTTTTAAAAGCAGCGGGCCCCTATGGTTTTGTAAAGTGAGTTCCACTAAACTTCCAAGGAAATTAATACCTGTTTAATATGAATTGTTTAAAAAAAAAAAAAAGAAAAAAAACATATAAACTGACAAACTCCTTTTAGGAAGATTTTAATAAAATATCAACTCTAAATCTAGAGATGAGCCAAATAAAAAAATACAGTCTCATTTTACTTGCATAAATTCCAAATACTACCTAACAAAATCTAACAGTAGATTAAAGAGAAAAAAAAAAAAAAAAGAATATGCTATCATATAGAGCTTATCCCAGGGAAAGGAGGAATACCTCAACTTCAGAAAATGTACAAATATACGTCACCATGATAATAAAATGAAGCAAAAAACCCAAAAGGCTGATAATTTTGTCAACTGTGGATATTTAACCTTTCTTAGTTCCTTCAAAAACGTAACAAAATACTCTTAACCAAACCAGGAAGAAAAGCTACTTTCTCAACTTCGTACCTAAGTTACCTACCAAAAATTTTTAGCAAATATAACCTAAATGAGAAACTTTAGATATATTCCCTCTAAAAATGAAATCAGATAAGGATGGCCATGATGACTGATACTGGCTGATATAGTACCAGAAGTCTTAATCGATGTTAGAAAAAAATAATGACAAGTGTAAGAAATGGAAGAAAAGAGATGTAACAATTTACAAATGATATGGTCATGTAATTAAAAAAAAAACTTAACATATAAATGATTAGAGCTAATAAAAGGGCTCAACAAGGTTTCTGGATCTGAGATTAATCTATGGATATTCATTATTTATATAGTGCTTACTATTTACCAGGTACTATTCTAGGAACTGCAAATGTCCCAAGGTCAAACCTCTACTAAATGACAGTCTGGATTTAAACCCAGACACTTTTACCTTCTACACATGCAATACTAACTAAAAAAAAATTTAAAAAGTTAAAGATATCTATCGTTCATAATGAGAAAAAAACCCAACAACACCAAACCTATCAAGGATCTAGGAACTACTTAATGATATATATAAGACCTCTATGAAGAATGTAGAATTCTAATAAAGGACAGAAGAGGATTTAAAAATCTTGGATGGAACAGATGAATATTATAAAAATTTTTTCCAAATTGATTTATACAATCCTAATACAGAAAGAGTAAAATTCCACATCTTGCCAAACCAACTATTTAAACAGAAGAGTAGAGGGGCTCTTGGCCTACAAGATATTAACACATACTATGAAAGTTACAGAGTTTAAAATAGGGTGGAGTTAGTGTATTGGACAAATAGTCCAATGTAACAGAACAAAATTGAGAAACACAGCCATATAAAGTTTTAGAATGCAGTACAAAATAAAGTTAGCATATAAATCAATGGGGAATGATACATTTAGTACACAATATTGGTAAAGCTGGCCCATTACATGAAGAAAAATCAAATGTATACCTACATAATGCCACATACAAAGGAGGACTCATGTTGGATGAAAGGCCAAAATGAGAATGGTAAAACTATATAGTTAATAGAATATAATACCTGAATATAAAGTATTGTGACTTGGGGACAGGGAGACTTTTAAATAAAAAAACATAAAGCACAAGACCAAAAAATGATGAATTCAGTATCACATCAAAATTATTTCTGGATTGAACTAAAGATATCAAGAACTAAGTGAACTACAAATTCACAACAAAAAGGTAGCAACCTCCATAAAGAAATGGCTAAAACAAAAATATTCAATTTACAGAAGAGAAAATCAACAGGCCATTAGCCATATGATGAATAAAGAGTTATTATCACTTTACTGTATTTGGCAAAAATTAGAAGCTGGAGACAATGCCAACTGTTAGTGAGGAAACTAAAGGAATAGCCCCTGTAGGAACCAGTACTGCTGGTGATATTACGGTCTGGGGTAATTTTTCTCGAGAAATTTGGCAGCGGTATTTAGTCAAACTATTTGCACATCTCATGATCCAGCAATTCTACTCTTATGTATATATAGTAAAGATATTCTCTGTAAGACCAACATATATTCTGCTTCTAGGTTTCCATCATTGGGAGTGGATAAGCAAAATGTGGTGAAAGGACACTAGAAGTATACATAGCCACATGAATATACTAAAGGCATTAACTCTAAATGAAAAAAGCGGAAAGCAAAATATTAATATCCCACTTATGCCCATTCTATAGGAGTGATTTCCAAAATGAGTTAGTAAACATCTCTACTTTCAAAAACACATTGGGGCGCCTGGGTGGCACAGTCGGTTAAGCGTCCGACTTCAGCCAGGTCAGGATCTCGCGGTCCGTGAGTTCGAGCCCCGCGTCAGGCTCTGGGCTGATGGCTCAGAGCCTGGAGCCTGTTTCCAATTCTGTGTCTCCCTCTCTCTCTGCCCCTCCCCCGTTCATGCTCTGTCTCTCTCTGTCCCAAAAATAAATAAACGTTGAAAAAAAAAATTAAAAAAAAAAACAACACATTGAGTTGTGCTAGTAAGGTCAGAGGGTATTGCTTCATGTCAATAGTATTCCTCTAAAGGACATTTCTCTGGCTTCTGCATATTCTTATTTAACTCTGTGGCACAAAATGTCTGACACATATAGCTTAGTAAGTTTTTTGAAAGAAAATGAGAGAGTGACAAAGGTCTGCTATAATTAACTATACAAGCATGTTCTATATTTATTCTAGGGAGACAAAAATTCCCAAATTATATTCGGGCGATTTGGTAGTATGTTGCACAAAGTCAAACGAAACAATTTTTTTTTTTTTTTTTAAAGCGGGATCAACAGATGATGCTACTAAAGCAATATAAAGGAACTGCTTATAACTTCAACTTTAAGAAGAAAAATGAATGCAAATACTTTTAAGTTTATATTACTACCCAGTTCAATGTGAAAACCAAAAGAAAACTCAAAACATACTCTAAGTCTTTAGTTTATTGAGACAGGAGAAGCTGTTGGCTTTTAATTCTCCTGTCCTCCTACATTTTTACTATTTTCATTTCAACTAGATTCCATCTGCAAGATTATTAATTGGCTATACATCATTTATTGTGTTACTCAAAGCACTCTGTAAATGGCCCACTCCACTTTTTTTTAGCAGAAATAAGAAAGTCTCTTTGGGGGCATATATAAATTCTAGAGTGAATCTACCACTGTTACTCCTTTACATTCCATGTGCATAATTTTCCAGCATCAAAACTGAATTAACCTATTCTGTATGCTCCCATGTATAATTTGCCTTTAAAGAATGATTTACCATGATTTCAGAACTAAATAGCCTTACCTTACAAAGTCTTTAGTTTTGTTATTTCCTCTTCAACTGAACTAAGTTTACCAAGGATAGGAAGAAATTCCCATAGTTGCTATTACTTGTTCATTTTTCCCACAAAGTCAAGAAACAGTAAGCTTTAAGGCAGTGATACTATGATGTTTAACACAGCATCTTTTTTTACCAGCTTTATTGAGGTATGATTGACAAGTTGTATATATTTACCATGTACAATGTGATGTTTTGATATATGTATATACCGTGAATTACCACAAACAAGCTAATTAACATCTGTAGCCCACAGTTACCATTTTCTTGTGTGTTGTAAGAACACTTGAGATCTACTCTCAGCAAATTTCAAGTATACATAAACAACAGTCGCTATACTATACATTAGGTCTCCAAAATTTATAACTCAAGGTTTTGTATTCTGTCCAACATCCCCCAATCTCCTTCATCCCACAAGCCACCGATAACTTGCATTCTACTCTGTTACTATGAGTTCAACTTTTTTAGATTCCACATATAAGTAGGATTATACAGTATTTGCCTTTCTGTGTCTGGCTTATTTCACTTAGTAGAATATCCTCCAGGCTGACCCATGGTGTAGCAAACTGCAGGATTTTCTTCCTTTTTTAAAAAAATGTATTTATTATTTTGAGAGAGAGACAGTGTGAGGAGGAGAGAAGCAGACAGAGAGGGAGACACAGAGTCTGAAGCAGGCTTCAGGCTCTGAGCTGTCAGCACACAGCCGGATGCGGGGCTCGAACTCACAGACTGAGAGGTCATGACCTGAGCCAAAGTCAGACACTCAACCGACTGGGCCACCCAGGTGCCCCAGGATTTCCTTCCTTTTTAAGACTGAAGAGTATTCCATTATATGTAAAGTACATCTTTATCCATTAATCCATTATGGACACTAACGTTGTTTCCCTATCTTGGCTACTGTGACTAACACTGAAATAAACACAGTACTGCAGATATATCTTTGAGATAGTGACTTCATTTCCTTTAGATATATACTCAGAAGCAGGATTGCTGGATCACAAGGTTATTTCTAGTTTTAATTTTTTGAGGAATCTTGACTGTTTTCTATAATGGCCATATCAATTTACATTCCCACCAACAGGTATAAGGGTTCTCTTTATATCCTAACTAACACTTGTTATCTTTTGATTTTTTGATAATAGTCATTCTAACAGTTGTGAGGTGGTATCTCATTGAGGTTTTGATTTGCATTTCTCTGACCATCAATGATGTTGAGCATCTCTTCATATACATGTTGGCTGTATGTCTTCTGTGGAAAATGTCTATTCAGGTCGTTTGCTCATTTAATTGGGTTATTTGTTTTTTTGCTATTGAGTTGTTGGCGTTTCTTATGTATGTTGGATTTTAACCTCTCATGGGATATATAGTTTGCAAATATTTTCTCCCATTACAAAGGATGCTTCTTCACTTCATAATGTGTCTTTTTCTCTTTTTCTGATATAATGTTCTAAAAATACTAAACAAAAACATGTTACATGTTAATCCTAAAAAAAAAAAAAAAAAAAAAAAAAAAAAAAGCTAATCAAAACAGTTAGGCTGACCTCTGGTGGCCAGATGCCTCATCTTTCAGTATCCGACAACATGATAGGAAGTCATCTCTCATTTGTCGATTACCAAGTAAAATATAGTAGAGGAAATATTGTTAGAAACCTCACAGAGTAATAAAGGTAGCAAGCATCCAAAGTATAAAGAAAATTGAGCAATTAAAGGCTACAAAATAGAAAAATGTCTCCAAATACTTGTTATAATTTTTAGTTTACCAATTTTACATGAAAAACAAATGGTATATGCAGTGGTTCTCAAAATAAGAGCATAGTTCCACACGGTCCAATACTGTAGTCACTGGCTCCATGTGTCTACACAGCACTCCTGTGGCTAATGTAAAATAATACCGAATTTCAAAGACTTAGTAGGGAAATAAGAGAATGTAAATCATTCCATTGATAATCTGTTGATTACATGTTGAAATGATATTTTGGTTATACCTGGCTAAAAAATTAATGCCCTTTCTGGGTTTCTCTCTCCTCAGCTTTCCAGGCATTCTATACTTTTAGCTATAGTTAGATTATGTTAGCAGTGTGTCCATGAATTCATGGGCCTCTGCTTTTGCTCTAGCTGATTAATCTAAAACACTCATCCTTCTTGCCTTTTCAATAATAGACCTCTTGATAATTTTGAAATTACAGGTAACCCAATACTACCATATTCATTACTTTAACTGGCATTTGAATACCTATAGTGTTGTATGTATAATATGAAGAGAATGGATGAATAAATTATCACATATTCATACAAAAGAATACTGCAGCAACCTGTCTGTGCTTTGGTTTCCTTACCTTAAAAGGAGCTAGAAGTTACCTTATAGGGGTTGTTTGTGAGGACTGAACTTAGTAAAGTGCTTAGAACAGTGTCTGGCACATAAGGGTCCATAAGGTATAAGTTATCATTATTAAAGTATTTTCATATGAATAAACCTCAAAAACAATACTAACTGAAAAAAAAAGCAAGGTGCAAAGGATTTTTTTTTTTTGGCAAATGATTATATAATGTTAGAACATAAAAATAATACAGTATATTTATTCAGAGACTTACTCGTATGTCTTTAATATATAAAGTTCAGAAAAGCCGTTAATGCTGTAGAGAGAATGTAATTCAATAGGAAAAAGGTATACAGGTGACTTTGTAATCTTCTTTATCTTAGCTGGCTGTGTGTACTGAGATGTTTGTTTTTGTCTGATATAATCCCCCTCTTTTTTTTCCATTAATTTTTTTAATGTTTATTTATTTTTGATAGAGAGAGAGAGAGAGAGAGGTAAGGGCAGAGAGAGAGACACACACACAATTTGAAGCAGGCTCCAGGCTCTGAGCTGTCAGCACACAGACCGATGGGGGGGCGGGGAGCTCGATCCCACAGACTGTGAAGATCATGACCTGAGCTGAAGTCAGACGCTTAACCGACTGAGGCATCCAGGCGCCCCCACCTTTTTTTTTTTTTAGTTTAAAGAGTCAGTTCCTGCTCGAAGGCACTGCAAATTTATCGTTACCACTACCCTAAACACCATCCCCTGAGTTCTTGGTTGAATACATCGCTGTTAGGCACCTTTGTAAACCAGGCCTCGAAAGCTGGAATAAGCTGGATCCAAATTAAATCGTGCCTCTCTCCGCAGCTCTTCCCAAACTGCGTACCTCTTGCAGACCCTCCGCCAGCTACCTAAGGGTTAAAATGACCGAGGCCCGCTTCCATCAGGGCACCACGTAACGCCCCCTCTGCGGAACAAGAACGTCTGCTTTCTCACTGGAAGCCCGGCCGCAGCTCAGCTTCCAGCACGCCCTTCTCGACAGAGCTCCAAAAGAACCCTTACACCTGGGATCCCCTGCTCCCCTTTAGCTGGAGAAGGAAATCTTCCCCTCAGCAGATTCCCTGTTCTCACCCATGGAGGATCCTTTCTTCTTTCTCGCCCCACGCCCAGCTGCACGACCCGGCTAGGCCTAGCACCACCAGCTCTGCCCCGACAGTCGCATCTCGGTTCGGCGAGCGGCCGATTTCACTTCCGGGCGGGCCAACGCCCCCTCCTCGTACAAACGCCACTTCCCTCTCGAAGACCCGCTGCAACAATTCTAAGCGCATGCGTCCAAACTGCCGTACTTGAGGAAGGTGGAGCCATCTCTTCCCGCTCTCGCGGCAGTCTCGCGGTATTTGCTTCTCCCGCGGGAGTTTTTTGAACGCTCTGGCGGTAACCCCACCCTGGGTGCTTAGCTGCCGGCTGACCGGAGCCTGAGGCGACCTTGGAGTTTTGTCCTGCAGTCCGTGGGGCCCGCTGTACCCCTGCGCGGACGAGGCTCGTCCCAGCCAAGTCACGGCGCCATGGGGGCGGAGAAGAAGCTGCTGTCGGTTAAGGAGGCCTTTCAGTTGGCGCAGCAGCCGCACCAGAACCAGGCGAAGCTCGTGGTGGCGCTGAGCCGCACCTACTGCACGGTAAGCGCGGCCCCAGCCTCGGCCGCCGTCCCCCTGCGCTCCCGGGACCAGCCTCCCAAAGGGGTCTCCTGTGGGTGGCCCTCCGGAGTCCAATCTTCTTAACCTTCCGCACCCAGTTCTGAAAGGTCTGGAGACCTCCCCGAGGTCGTCCCCGCAGCCCCTCTTCCCTGCGGCCTCCGGCGCGGACCGCTAATTCTTTGTGAATTTGGAGAGCGACGTTTACGATCACCGAAGCGGCCCGGCGCCAAGTGCTGGGCCGCTTAGTAGATCCTGAACGTGGTTCGTGGGTGGTTGTCCCTCAGGTCACCGCCCACCTCGGGAAGGCCGACCGTCGGTCAAATTAATCACAGTTAAATTGAGTTGAATCACCAAATAACAAATTAACCCTTAGTACCTGGCTTTCCCTATTTATGTAAATACTGTTGTAGGTGGTACCCTGAGAATAGGACACTGAATTTTGGGAAAAGAAATTATCTTGAGGTCCAAGAAAAATTGTCAGTATAATCGGACTTAAGGATATGAGTGAGATAGGATGTGAAAGTTATATTAAAAGGAAATTGCCGTGGAAAAGGAAGGCTAACTGTGGTAAAATAAGAAAGCCACTGTTGATTTTGGGTTGTTTCAGGAAGGTCTTTTTTTTTTTTTTTTTAAACTAAACTGGCACCAAGGCATATTGAGGATTCAAGGGTATTTTTTTTTTAATTAATTAAAAAAAATTTTTTTTAAGTTTATTTATTTCTGAGACAGAGACCGAGCATGAGCGGGGGAGGGGCAGAGAGAGAGGGAGACACAGAATCAGAAGCAAACTCCAGGCTCTGAGCTGTCAGCACAGAGCCCGATGCGGGCTCGAACTCACAGACCGCGAGATCATGACCTGAGTTGAAGTCGGTCACTCAACCGACTGAGCCACCCAGGCACCCCCAAGGGTATTTAAAAAAAAAAAAAAAAAATGAAAGGGTTCCTTTCACTGTCAAAATTCATGTTTGTTTTCTTCCTTGGAGAAGTAAATTGCTCTGGAGAGAAATTTGTGCAAATATTTTTCCTTCAACAGTTTGGAAACTCACCTGATAGTTTACTAAATAATGATTTCAGTGTGAGTAATTATGAGTGGTGCTTTCATCAGTCTTAGGGTACTCTTGGGAAAAAGGGATTATATCAGTGCAGTTTGTGAAGGGTTTCTTTTTGTCTTTCAGATGGATGATAAGACCATTTTTCATGAGGAGTTTGTTCATTACCTTAAGTATGCTATGGTGGTCTATAAACGTGAGCCAGCTGTGGAGAGAGTAATAGAATTTGCAGCAAAGTTTGTTACTTCATTTCACCAATCAGATACGGAAGATGATGAGGAAGAGGAAGATTGTGGCATTTTAAATTATTTGTTTACCTTTCTTTTAAAGGTATGAAAACTAGAACTTCGGGGAAGCATTGTAGAAAATTTTGCAATATTAAAAGGGCCATCCATGCACGTTTGTATGTTTTAGAGAATGAAATATTTCGTAACTGAGAAAATGTCTGAATGAGTCTGCCTTTTGTAGGAAATATTAGAACTGTCATTAGGATTAAAAAGTGGACTTAAAGTAATTCCAGCATTACATTTTTAATGACCTCTGTGAGCCAGTTCTCACGTCATTTGTTTTAAATGAGCTATTTTAGAAGAATTACTACAACAGAAGTATGCTCTTGTAGTTGAGCTTATACTTACTTTGAGCTGTGTATATTGTGGGACTTGATGTAATGTATGTTTAGTATACATAGGGATCAAGGTAATCTTGTTTCTCTGCAGGTAATGGATTTGGTAACTTTTTGTATTTTAAACCTATAGAATTCAAATGGTATGTGATTGTAAATAAATTTTGATTGTTTCCGTTTCAGTCTCATGAAGCAAACAGCAATGCAGTTAGATTTAGAGCATGCCAGCTCATAAACAAGCTCTTGGGAAGTATGCCAGAAAACGCCCAGATTGATGATGATTTGTTTGATAAAATTAATGAAGCCATGCTTATTAGATTGAAAGATAAAATTCCAAATGTGAGGATACAGGCAGTTCTGGCTCTTTCACGACTTCAGGATCCCAAAGATGATGAGTGTCCAGTGGTTAAAGGTATGTGTAGCCTCCTAAATTCCTTTTCAGTTTCCTTGACTTTGTTAAATTCTCATTAGAGAGGGTTTTTGGTTTTTTGTTTTTTGTTTTATTTTTGAATGTATTCTCTCTCTGTCTCTCTCTCTCTATGGAAAAGTATAGGTTTTATATGTATATGTATAAATATATGACTTTTAAAAATACCCAAGTAGCTACCACCCAGCTTAAAAAAAATAGAGCCTCAAGGCACCTGGGTGGCTCAGTCGGTTAAGTGTCTGACTTTGGCTCAGGTCACGATGTCATGGTTCATGAGTTGGAACCCCGTGTTGGGCTCTGTACTGACAGCTCAGAGCCTGGAGCCTGTTTTGGATTCTGTGTCTCTCTGCCCCTCCCCTGGCCGCATTCTCTCTCTCTCTCTCTCTCTCTCTCTCTCTCTCTCTCTCTCT